GGGGTCTGGATCAGGGTCACGGTGGGGTTAGGGTCTGGATCAGGGTCTGGGTAAGGGTCTAGGTTAGGGTCAGGGTCTGGATCAGGGTCACGATTAGGGTCTGGATCAGGGTCTGGGTCTGGATCAGGGTCTAGATCTGGGTCTGGATCTGGATCAGGATCAGGGTCTGGATCAGAGCTGATGGGGAAACTGTTTTTGTAATCTTAGAGGAATCGGTTAGTCTGACCAGGCCAGAGAAGCTTTTCTTAGATGGCAAAACAGGAATTAAAGCCTAAAGTCAGACGGGTTTCCTCTAATGCTGAAAACCTTTTAGCTCATCATCTGTTTACTGTTTTAATTCTGATAATTTCTGTCAGGATTTGTTTCCAAAGTGATGTTTCAAGGCATAAAAAACGTATTTTTTGGGGTTTTAAATGTGTTCTTCCAGACGTCCAAACATTTTCAGACTCCTTATTTAGAAATACTTTTACAATGTTAATATGTTTTGACTTTTAACAGAAAGCAGAAACAACCCCGTTTACTCCAGTTCCTCTTTAATAGGGTATTATTCTGTTTTTTTTTGTTTTATAGCATGAAACACCAGTGTCCATTCAGAATTTAAAGCATAAAGACCCATAAACACAGAGGAAAAAAGCTTTTTGTTAGCTGTCTAAACGGGTTAATGAACCTGTCAAAGTCCAGAAAGTTCTTACAGAACTTACAAAATACAGGGATGGAAGTTATTTAATAGAAAATACCACTTTCATACTTTGTCCCCCAGGATTTTGAAACAAGTAGCAGCGTAATATTGTGATAAGATAAACTACCAGGCTTCTTATCAGACAACTTCTTATCTTAACCTTCTTAACTCCCACCTGCTTTTAGGGAACCAAAGTCCTTTAATTCTGCTTTATTTTCCTTATTTGGATTAACAGAAATGCACTTTTTGTCTGCCTGGTAATGTATTCATGTGGCTAATAAAGGTTAAAACCCCAAATAAAGTCTTCTCCTGACCTTTAGTGACCACATGCGACTCCATTTTGTTCCTGGTTAAGAAGCAGGTGGTGATGTTTAACCAGTCCACAGAATTATTATAATAATTATTATTATTTATATCGGCTTTATTTAGTTCAGCTCAAACTTCCTAGTCTAACTTTAAAGAACAAGCTCCTTCCTCATTTTTGCTCTGTAGTTTTAGGACCGTTGACCTTCTCTGACCTTCTCTGACCTTCTCTGTACTCGGACCTTCTTTAACCTTTTTTTAACTTTCTCTGACCTTTAACCTTCTCTGACCTCTAACTTTTTTTGACCTTCTATGACCTTCTATGACCTTCTCTGACCTTCTCTAACCTTCCGTGACCTTCTCTGACCTTCCATGACCTTCTTTGACCTTCTCTGACCTTCTGTGACCTTCTATGACCTTCTCTGACCTTCCGTGACCTTCTCTGACCTTCTCTGACCTTCTCTGTTCTCTGACCTTCTCTGACCTCTAACTTTCTCTGACCTTCTCTGACCTCTAACTTTCTCTGACCTTCCGTGACCTTCTCTGACCTTCTTTGACCTTCTCTGACCTTCTATGACCTTTTATGACCTTCCGTGACCTTCTCTGACCTTCTCTGACCTTCTCTGACCTTCTCTGTTCTCTGACCTTCTCTGACCTCTAACTTTCTCTTTTCTCTGACCTTCTCTGACCTTCTTTGACCTTCCGTGACCTTTTCTGACCTTTGAGCTTCTCTGTAGTTTTATCATCTATGACCTTCTGTGACCTTCTATGACCTTCTTTGACCTTCTTTGACCATCTATGACCTTCACGGACCTTCTTTTTTACTTTTAACAGAAAGCAGAAACAACCCTGTTAACTCCAGTTCCTCCTTAATAACCTTCTCTGACCTTCCCTGACTTTCTCTTTTCTCTGACCTTCTATGACCTTCCGTGACCTTCTATGACCTTCCGTGACCTTATCTGACCTTCTCTGTACTCTGACCTTCTTTAACCTTTTTTTAACTTTCTCTGACCTTTAACCTTCTCTGACCTCTAAACTTCCGTGACCTTCCCTGACCTTCCCTGACCTTCTATGACCTTCTCTGACCTTATATGACCTTCTCTGACCTTCTTTGACCTTCTCTGACCTTCTCTGACCTTCCGTGACCTCCTGTGACCTTGTCTAACCTTCTCTGACCTTCTCTGTTTTGTGACCTTCTTTGACCTTCTCTTTTCTCTGACCTTCTCTGCCCTCTGAGCTTCTCTGTAGTTTTATCATCTATGACCTTCCCTGACCTTCCGTGACCTTCTCTGACCTCTAACCTTCCCTGACCTTCTCTGACCTCTAACCTTCCCTGACCTTCTCTGACCTTCCGTGACCTTCCGTGACCTTCTCTGATCTTCTCTTTTCTTTGACCTTCCCTGACCTTCCCTGACCTCTGTTTCCAGAGCATTTGAGCCTCCCCCGTCGTGTCCTGTGTTCCCTGAAAGCCGGCGGTCCCGTGTGCGTGTGCGATTACCAGTTTGGAGAGGAGGGCCTGTCGGAGTAGGCCGGGCGGCTGAAGGAGATGCTGGACATCGACGTGGCCGAGGACGACCTGGACACCAAACAGGAAGTGGCGGGCGAGACGGAGGACGGTGGCGCCCCCTCTGGCGGATCGGAGTATGGTCAGTGCTGGAAACCGGCCCAAAAGGAACCAAACAAGAGCTCAGCTTTGTGGAGTTAGCTTAACTCGTTGGCTGCTAAAGACGTCTATAGAGGTTTTTCAGCGAGAGTGTCTGGGGGAAGATCTGCTAAAGCTTGTCCGTAAATATGGGCTTCTAGACAGAGTATGTAGTAACAAATTGAGCCTCTAGGGGGCAGTGCCACTTTTGATGGGAGATGAGCATAGACTGTAGGCAAATAAGAAAAAGGGAACGGTTCTATGAGAGAACATGTCGCCGGTGAGACGCAAGTCCAGGAAGAACGGAATAAGGTAGAAACACATTTTTTTTCCTGATGAAAGAAGAGAGTCTACTCTTTCTTTTGGTGTGTTCGGTGTTTACATAGTCATAGCACAAACTATTCTGTGGCTCTAGAAAAATCAGTCAAAATGCTAAAAAAAAACTCTGGCAGTATGGGACTCTGTTCTGAAAATGGCTGCCAGTCAATGAGTTAACTTTTACATCTTCAGTGACTTTTATTTAATTATTTTATGGGATATTAGAAGCTATTTCTGCTTACTGAATTGTTTTTTTTTTGTGTTTGAAGAGCCTGCTGAGGAAGCTGGAGAAGCCCCAGAACCCCAGGGAAACACCTACATCGGTATATTTACGTGATATTTAAGCCAAAATTATGATAGGAAAAGTGGATTTTTGTAGCCACATCTCCAACAATCACCATCTCTTCCAATTTTACCCCTATTTCTTCTACAAAAAGAAAGAAAAAAGAGCTTCTACCTTAAATCTTGACATATCAAGGCATTGACTTAATAAAAGTCTGAGGTCAAACAAGCAGAAGACAAAAAGCTTACAAAGATGAGCACAAAGGAAAGTGATATCCTGAAGAAATTAGAATAAATATGGAACACAGATCTGAAACAGACACGGATCTGGTCCTTAGTTTAATCCGTCTGAACTGGATTACTGCGTTTTGTAATTAAATTCTGTCTAAATTTAGATTACCTTCACTAAACTGAGCTAGCAGAAATACCCCCCAAAGTCTGAAACTAGTTTAGATTTTATTCTGTCATATTGATATTATTTATTTTTGGTCATCAAAAGGGAAACAGGAGTTTTTTTATGAGACATAAAGGAATATTATATTATATATAAGAATATATTATTATATATATATTATTATATATTATATTATAATATTTACAATAAAAATTATATTATATTTATTATATATATATAATATATTATATATAATAATATATTATTCATTTTGTGTTGTTTTCTTTCAATTTATCTCCTTTCTTTATTTATTTAGACACCTGGATTTAACTGTAAAACTGAACCAGTAAACAAAGCCTTTAAAACCTCTCTTTTCCCTTTTTTTTTTAGGCGTTGCCATGGCTACGGCCGGCGCCCTGCTGGCCGCCGCTGCCTCGGTGCTGTATCTCAGTGATGTTTGAGATCTGACCACAATAAAGTCTTTTATTTTGAACATTTCTACAAAGTCTTTGTCGAGTCAGCTTCTTTTATAATTCACTTAAAGATAATCATAGTTGCAAAACATTGTGTTGGGTCATTTATTTTAAGAAATAAGGTTGATTTTGTTGGTTAGCTTCTTGTTTGGGTCATTTATTTAAGAAAATAAGGTTAATTTTAACCAAATAAAAGATGTTTAATAGAGTCCTTGAAGCCTTCGGAGAGGAAAGAGTTAATTCCATGTACAGTAGGAGGAAGGGCTCCACTCCCCTCCGGGTTAAAGTTTGAACCAAACACTTTTTTGTGGTGGTCACTGTTTGACTTGTGCCGGTTCAGGTGCAACGCACGGAGAAACGTGCAGATTTCTGAACTTCAACCCTGAGCGATAACAGCCAGTTCATCTTATCACGAAAAGAACCAAGGGTCCAAGTGAGAGGGGGAAATGGCCCCATCATCTCTGGAAAAGCTCCATTCTCTGGTTTGATTTCAAAGAAAACGAGGAAAGAAGTCGGGAAAAAACATAAACACAACAAACTATTAACTAAACACACAATTATATGTGAGTCTACAACACTGAAACTACACAAGGAACAAAAAATATTAAATATTTTTACTGGAATCTAACAAAATCTACTTTAAAAAATGTTCTTGAACCAATTAAATTATCATTATCATGATTGAATTGTTATCTGAAACTGGACAGAAGTAGTTAAATAGCCGTGTAAACACATCTGGAACACAGTTTTACTGTATTTTAAAGGCAGTTTGCTCTAAAAGCTGATGCTCCTGGCTTCCTTCACTCTGTTATGTGAGTCTATTCCACCACAGGTGGACTATTTAACCAGAGCCAGAGGGGGCGGGGCTAATGAGGACCCATGATCAGGTAACAGGGACAGAAACAGTCTGATTGGGTCTTTAATCAATAAAAGGCATCTTCCTTTGGCTTATAAATGTAGTCTTCTGACATCCATTTTAGAGATACAGAACTAAGAGGCGTCTTCATTAAAAAATGAAATCCTCCATCAGGTTTATTAGGCTGAATTATTTTATTTTTTTTGTCTTTTCAGACTAAATCTAACGCCTAACCCCGTTTCTTTAACTGTCAGGTGCACAAAATGTGCATTAAAATATGCTCTGTCTGCACAGTTAGGAAAACTGTTAAAGAAAACATGGATTAATCAATAAAAAGAGTAAAAGTAGTGGACTCAGAAACAGTGAACTTGAAGGGATGCTGCACCATTTTCAGCTGTTTCCACATTGTGTTTTTTAAAGTCCGCAGCAGCTTGTTTTTGGTGCATTTTATCAGGATAAATGTACAATAACTCCCAGTTATGTTTATAATCTGAGATCAGAGCGGATAGACCAACAAAAGCCGGTTTGTCCGTCCTCAGCTGCCTTATTTTCCGCGGCTAAAAGCTGCTTTCCCTCCGTGTAAAACACGCCTAACCCCTGGAAAAAACACGTAATTATCCACTATATCTGCGCCGTTTCTGGCGGTTGTTTTTCCGGGTTTTAATCAGGCAGTCCGCGGACACCTGCCCGGTATAAACAGCGGACCAGGGTCCGGGCTGAGCAGAGAACCAGTTCATCCTCTACACCGGTCAGTTAACGGCGGCTTTAAGGCACCATGCTGAGCAAAGACCTCCCAGATATAGAGGTAAACGAGTGTATTTGTATCTGATTTATGTTTTTATTCATATTAATTCTGTTTTTTAATCATGCAATGTGGATTATATAACTTTTTCTGAGAATACTTTGTTTTCTTACTCAGGACTCATGTTGGTTTCTGTCTCAAGTAGCACTTAAAAGTTAGAAGAATTCACTTTGTGTTCTCATTTGGTTCTTTCTTAGTCCAGAAACAAACTAGTTTAGTGGACTTTTTCTAGAAAAATCAGCTGGGAGGGAGATTTCCTTTAACAGAAAATAACAGAGACTGGAGGAGGAGGGAGATTCTGTAAATAACTCAGAGTAGATCTGAGATGTTCTTTTTTTAAAAGAGCTGGGAGATAACCTTGATTTGGTTCTACATAAATAAAATAGAGCAAAATAGAGTAAAACTGAGATGACTCCTTTAGAGCTGATGAAAAACACCATCAGAGAGACGCAAAGCCAGCTAAAACAACCAGAAAATGTAGAAAAAAGACATAAAAAAGGATGAATAACACAAAAAAATGTACAAAATCATCCAAAAACAACCAGAAAATGTAAAAAAAAAGACATAAAAAAGGATTAATAACACAAACAATTTACAAAAATCATCCAAAAACAACCATAAAATGTAAAACAACACATAAAAAGGATGAATAACACAAAAAAATGTACAAAAATCATCCAAAAGCAACCAGAAAATGACACAAATTTAGCACAAAAAGCAATAGAAACACCAATAAAGCAACAAAAATGACCAAAAAAGGGGATGAATAACACCTACAGAGAAAGCTGGGAGATAAATGTTGCCTT